GTAGACGCTGGGTGTTGATAGGTGGAGGTGGTGGTGGGGAGTCGGATGCTGGAGGCTGGAGGTCAGAATGCTGAGCTTGTGGCCGCTGAAGGCCCATGGGTGGAGGTGGAGGTGGAAAGTCGGATGCTGGAGGCTGGAGGTCGGAGTGCTGAGCAAGTGGACGCCAGTGGTCGATAGGTGGAGGTGGAAGTGGTGGTCATAAGCTGATGGGGGCGGGAGTGCAGACTGGGAGGATGGACGTCGGAAGTTTGGGGTCGGACCCCCCCCCGCGCCGCCCTCCTAGGGCCGGTTCCGCCGGACCGTCATCACGCGCTCTCTCTCTCTCTCTCTGTCTGGCTCTCGCTCTCCTCACCCTCGCCCACCTGCTTCACGACCCTGGTCCTCCCGCTCCTCATTCTCATTCTCTTGATCCTCTCTCTTCTCTTGATCCTCGCTCTGCTGACCCTCGCTTTCCTCTGCTGATCCCCCCTCCCCTGCTCCACAACCGCCCGATCCTCACCCTCCTGATTCTCATTCTCGCCATCCTCGCTCTTCTGACCCTCCTCCTCCGTATCTTCACCGTCCTGCACCAAGCCCGCCCGATCCTCACCCTCGGCTCGGGAAGGGAGAGGGGAGAGGGGAGGGGTGCGGAGCGGGAGAGGGGAGGGGTGTGGGGAGGAGGATGATGAGGGGGAGGATGGGGAGGAGGAGGAGGAGGAGGAGGGAGAGGTGTACAGTCATACGTGCTTCCGCATATGGGAGCGGGGGGCTGTTCAGAGGGAAGGGGATCCTCCCGGGGACGGCGGTTCGAGGTCGGGACTGTTTGGGGCCGTGGGGGCCGAGGATGCGGTATGAGGAAGACCAGGCGGAGGAGGACGAGGAATGTGAGGAGGAGGCGGAAGAGGAGGACCAGGGTGCGGGAGGAGGAGGAGGATGACCAGGAGTGGGATGAGGAGGAGGAGGATGGTGAGGAGTAGGAGGAGGAGGAGGACGAAAAGGAGAAGGGGGAGGATGCGGTAGGACGATGATGATGAGGAGGAGGAGGAGGAGGACGAGGAGGAGGACGAGGAGGAGGAGGAGATTTCTCGGGGCGCGCGATTTTCGCTGACTTCTCGCCGCTGGGTCGCCCCCTCGCGAGCCTCGCCCAGAAGCGCGCGCCTTGTCTTCTCTCGGTCGTTTCCCTCTCGCCCAGAAGCGCGCGCCCCTTCTTCTATATATATATATATATATATATATATATACAGAAACTCCCGATCAACCGCAGAGCGGCGGATGTTAGTAATAGTACTGGGAAAAGTAGCAGGAATAATGCTAGTAGTAGGCATAGCAGTAGTAGTAGTAGCAGTAGTAGCAGCAGTAGTAGTTGTAGTAGCAGTGGTAGTAAAAATAGTAGTAGTAGTAGCCGTAGCAGTAGTAGTCGGATTATTGGTAAGAGTAGTCGTAGTAGTAGTAGTAGTGGTAGTTGTTGTTGTTGTAGTAGAAGTAGTAGTAGTAGTAGTAGTAAAAATAGTAGTAGTAGTAGCAGCAGCAGTAGTAGTAGTAGTAGTAGTAGTAGTAGTAGTAGTAGTAGTAGTACTTCTGGAGGGTGTAGTAGTATTAGCAGTGGTAGTAGCAGTGAAATTCGTAATATTAGTAGTAGTACTTGTGGAGGGCATAGTAGTACAAGTAGTAGTGGCTGTAATCGTGGTAGTAAAAGTGATACTAGGAATAGTAGATGTAGTACGACTGGAAGTCTGAGAATTCGTAGTCGTAGTAGCATTGGTAGTAGTAGTAGTAGTAGTAGTAGTAGTAGTAGTAGTAGTAGTAGTAGTACTAGTCGTAGTAGTAGTACTAGTAGTAGTAGTAGTAGTAGTAGTAGTAGTAGTAGTAGTAGTCGTAACAGTAGCAGTAGCAGTAGTAGTAGTAGTAGTAGTAGTAGTAGTAGTAGTGGTAGTAGTGTAGTAGTAGTAGTAGTGGTAGTGGTAGTAGTAGTAGTAGTAGTAGTAGTACAAGTAGTAGTAGTAGTAGTAGTAGAAGTAGCAGTAGCAGTAGTAGTAGTAGTAGTAGTAGTGGTAGTAGTAGTAGTAGTAGTAGTAGTGGTAGTAGCAGTCGTAGTCGTAGTTGGAGTAGTGGTAGTAGTAGTAGTAGTCGCAGTGACAGTCGTAGTCGTAGTAGTAGTCGTAGTACTAATAGTAGAATCGCAGTAGTAGAAGTAATAGTAGTAGTAGTAGTAGTAGTAGTAGTGGTGGCAGTCGTAATAGTAGTCGTAGTAGTAGTTGTAGTCGTAGCTGTAGTAGTAGTAGCAGTAGTAGTGGTAGTAGTAATAGGAGTAGGAATAGGAGTTATGGTCGTAGTGGTAGTGGTAGTGGTAGTAGTAGTAGTAGTAGTAGTAGTAGTAGTAGTAGTAGTAGTAGTAGTAGTGGTAGTAGTAGTACTAGTAGTAGTAGTACTAGTACAAATAGTAGTAGTAGTACTACTACTACTAGTGGTAGTAGTGGTAGTAGTAGTAGCAGTAGTAGTAGTAGTAGTAGTAGTAGTAGTAGTAGTACTGGCAATAGTCGTCGTAATCGTGGTACTCGTAGTAGTACTCGTAGTAGTACTCGTAGTAGTACTCGTAGTAGTAGTAGTAGTAGTAGTAGTAGTAGTAGTAGTCGTAGTCGTAGTCGTAGTCGTAGTCGTAGTCGTAGTAGTAGTAGTAGTAGTAGTAGTAGTAGTAGTAGGAGGAGGAGGAGGAGGAGTAGTAGTAGTAGTAGTTTTTTGTTGTTGTTGTTGTTGCTGTTGCTGTTGTTGTTGTTGTTGTGAGAATGTATCAGAATCTCTGCAGGAATCTCTCAGAGGCTTGCAGGAATCTCTCAGGAATCTCTCAGAATGTCTCAGAATGTCCCAGAAGCTTTCAGAATCTCTCAGAATCTCTCAGAATTTTCCGAATCTCTCAGAATCTCTCAGAATCTATCAGAATCTCTCAGAATCTCTCAGAATCTCTCAGAATCGATCAGAACCTCTCAGAATCTCTCAGGATCTCTCAGAATCTCGCAGAATCTCTCAGAGGTTCGCAGTGGCTCTCAGAACCTTGCAGAGGTTGGAGCTTTTCAGAGGGTCCAAAGTGGTTGGGATCTCACGCGTCCCACGTGTCCTTGACGGTTGGGATCTGAACCGTCCGGTTGAGATCTCACGCGTCCGGTTGGGATCTGAACATTTCGCGGGCGGCGGGGGGCGGAGGAGGCGGAGGAACCCGCTCCGAGGAAGGGAAACGGTTGGGGAAGAACCAGCTCAGGGGAGGGAGCAGCGATCCGGAACCAGCGATCTGTATCGCTGACAGATCGGTGATAAACCCCAATAGCGAAGCCGCACGCTCGTGGACGGGGTGGGCTACCGGGCGGGGCCTCTATCGGCACTGCATGGTTGGGCGATCGGCAGTCGACGCATCCCCGCCCTGATCCCCCCTAAAGTTGCCCTTCTTCTTTCGGGACATAATTCGGCTCTCTGGTAGTCGTTCGGGACGATACGGACAACCCCGGAACGCCCTCGGCGAAGCGCAGCTACTGAAGGCACCCGAGGTCGAAAAACCGAAGAGACCCGACGAACACACCCAAAACCTGACTCCTCGTACCCGAATTGTTTCCCTCCTGAGAGGCGAGGGGGAGGAGGGGACGGGAGGCAGGGATGGCGCTGAGGGAGAGGAGGGAGGGGCCTCGGCGACTGCATTCGAGTGTGACGTGAGGAGGAGCCCCTCCTGAAGCTCGGGCGGGGGCGCGGAAGCTCCCCAACTCTTGCTGGCTGATGCCCAGGAGGGGGGGGGGGCATCAAAGGGGATCTGGGCAACAATCGGACCTAGGCCAGAAGAACATCCCTCAAGAACATGAGACCCTCCGCCGGCCAAAACACACAGAACGTCCAAAGGTATCCTCCCCTAGATGCACAAGAACGTCCAACAAGCACTAAGAACATTAGGGCACCCTCCCCGAACCGACCTCGATCTAATGCCTCGGTCGGACTGCAGTCCATCATCCACCGACTGGTGCTTTGCACACCGCGCAGGGGCACTCGCCACTGCTGGGCTCAGGTAGGGGGAGGGACTGCGGAGGAAGAGGAGGGAAGGAGGGGAGGGCAGGAGGGAGGACTGAAGAGTCTGAGGAGGGAGGGGGGGAGGAAAGCAGGGAGGATGACGGAGGGGATAGGGGGGGGGCAGGAAGAGGGCAGGAGGAGGAGCTGGCCCCAATTGGAGTTCGCCCGGCCCGGCCGGCAAGACCCAAGAAGATCAGACGAGGCCGAGAGGCCAGGCGCTGAGCGTGGCGAGGCTGGGGGCCGACTGTTGCGGCCGAGGCCGCCGCGCGCTCGGATCAGCCCCTTCGGGGATGGACAGCCCTCCCTTTAGTAAAACGCGGTTTAGTGAAGACGGCCTCGGGTCCAAACCTGGCGGGCGCAAGCCTGGAAAATAACGGCTGCGGCAGCCTCTCGAGAACCGAAAATGCACAATTCACTAATCGACGTGTCAGGGTCGGGGTTCTGTCCACCCCTGGCCACTGCGCTTGAAATCGGCTGAGGGGTCTGCTCTGGATGGGCACCAGCAAAGGCAGTCCGGACCCCGCTCTCCGACGATCATACCATTTGCTACTCGGCGTCGGTCACCCAAGGGCACGTTATCTGGCCCTGGGGCCATCAACGTGGATCCGGGGCCAAAAAGAACCCCAGGGAAGGGTTTCGGGAGCCCTGGGGCCGCGGAAGGGGTCGGGTCCCTGGGGCCCTGGGGGGACTGCTCTGGATGGGTACCAGCAAAACCAGCCAGGAGAGGAAGCATAGGAAGATCAGCTACAAAATGTGTAGAACGTTATGATTTGTCGTGCGGGACCAGTGGACGGAACCCATGTACAGTGGTGCATTCTCTTCCCCTCGGGTAGTGGCTGGAACCCGTGGTGCCCAGCCTCAACCCTCCAGCCGGGTCCAAGACTTCGCCAAGTCCCAATTCGCCACATTCCAGCCTCATATCTCAATTCGGAGGAGCGCCCGAGAGCCATGCAATTGAGGCTGGCCCGCGGCACCCCTCAGGGGGCTGCAGGCTGCCCCGTCCGGGCAGCAGGCGCGCGTGCAGAGAGATTTGCCTTCTCTGTGCTCCAACGCTTGAGGTCGCGAGGTCGAGATGGCGGCTGACTAGCTAAAGTGACGAGGTGCGCCAAGCAGCCCCAGGTACGACCGCGGGGCCTCAAAGCGACCGCGGTGGATAGAGGCCTCCAAATGCGGTCCGAGCAAATTGCGCTGGAGGATCGCGCCGCATCGCCGATGCATCGGCGATGCATCTCCGAGAACGCCGACGCATGGGCGGCATCGGGCTGGAGGGAATCGGGCTCCACATCATCGACTCGCAGCGCCGATGAGGTGCGATCCTGCGACCCCATCAGCTCGGACCCTACTTGGGAAGCCTGGGGTGGAGAGCCCGCGCCCTCGCATGGCACCGCCGCAGAGCGCTTCAAGGCTCCTCAAATCAGCGAGGCGCAGGGTCCTGAAAGAGCCCGACCGGGCTGCAGAGGCTCCCCCCTGGCTTCCATAGACGAAGGAACAACAGCTCAACAGAAATGTTCGATGGTCTGCGTAGATTTCTTGTATCGGTGCTGGACCCTTCTCTTCCCGCCAGGGGGGGGCCTGGGCGCCGATCCTAGAAGACTACGCGGAGCTTCAAAAGTGTACGTTTATGCAATTCGTCCTTCTTCGAGATGTGGCGGCAACGGCGGCAGCGGCTGCAGGAGCGGCGGCGGCGGCGGCCTCAGCAGCACGTGTCGGGAGCGCGCGCAGGGGAGCGAGAGAGCAGCAATGCGGCTATCAGTGGCATGAGGCAACAGAAACGGGCCCTGGACCCCGGGGCCTTCCCCACAGGATACACTCTCAGGCTGTCCCGAGGGCCCGTGGAGCGGCGCTGGAAGTCTCAAAACGGCACAGAACCTCAGGCCCTCCTCCTCCTCCTCCTCCTCCTCCTCCTCAACCTCCTCCTCCTTCCCTCCTCCTCCTTCCCTCCTCCTCCTCCTCCTCCTCCTCCTCCTCCTCCTCCTCCTCCTCCTCCTTCCCTCCTCCTCCTCCTCCTCCTCCTTCCCTCCTCCTCCTCCTCCTCCTCCTCCTCTTCCTCCCCCTTTTCCCCCCCCCACCCCTCCTCATCCTCGTCCTCCTCTTCTCCTCCTCCCTCTTTTCCTTCGGGAGCCGTCTGCTTCATTGCGACATCAGCGGCAGTAGCGGGATCAGAAGCCAAGCCAGAAACAAGCCACAAATAAGCGAGGGCTGGGCACGCACGGATCGACAGGGCTGTCAGACCTGGCGTTGGGCGGGCAAGGTGTCACAAGGACAATGGGGCCAGAAATGGTTTTCACCGAATATTCGTGTTATTGGTACCGCATCTTGTTTGTAGATCGCTCGCTCGCATATCGCTCATTAGCGGGCTGACGAGCCTCACAGGCGAAACTAGTCTCAGCGCAGTAACGTTTGTTTGCACCTTGAGATTGCCACGTCAAAACTGCATGTGGAGCCTGCGAACATCACAATGCCAGTATGTCCACCTGGGCGGCGCATCCCGAAGGCCTGGCGTCGCCAAATGACAAGTCGGCGCGCGTCATTGCGAACATGCATGTACCTGCGCGACGGACCTCAGTCGATGAGGGGGCCTGCGGCGGGGTTGATCTCGCACGACGTATGGACCCTCCGTATCAGGTGCTGTTCTCTGTTTCGGTTTCCTTCGTCAGGTCTTCGGATCCTGTTCAACGTTGTCTCCAGCCTGTAGCTGCAACTTCAACTGCACGTCCACTAGACCCAACCACGCCCAACCCCCATCCCCTTCCTCCTGCTCCCCTCCTCCGTTCCATCCGCAGCCCCCTCCTCCGCTCCATCCTCCTCCTCCTCCTCCTCCTCCTCCTCCTCCTCCTCTTCACTCTCCGCTTCCCCCCCCCCTCCCCCTTCCGTCTCCCCCTTCCCCATCGCTTCCTCACCCATCCTATTGCACATCACACTCCTTGACCCCCCCTCTTCCTCCTTGCCACGAGGAACACGGGTCCTAATGGAAGCCTTGGGAACGCACTAATCCGCCCAAGCCGGCCAAGATCATTGCCGCGAACACGGGCAGGCCACGAAAAGCAACGCCCAGACCCGGGACGGCGGAGGGAAGAGACGGGGGGATCGGCTCCAATGGGCTCCCCAAAACCCGGGTCGGGGGGAATGTGAAAATCCCCGTCGGATCTGACCCCGGTACGTCCACCAATTTGGTTCTCGGGCGGTAATTCGGGCCTCAAACGGTCGCTTGGGACAATTCCGACATCCCCGGAACGCTCTCCACGAAGCGCAGCCGATGGAAACCTCTGAACAACTTTGAGGAGACTTCCGACAGCATCCTCGAGAACCTTCGCATCCTTGAGGTTAGCGCTGAACCCCTTACGTAGAGGCCATAAGACTGACCCCTACCCCCATGTGACGTCCAAACAACCCGAGGCTGAGTATCATAAGGAATACTGGTGCGATTGCAATGGCGAGAAGGAGGGAGGAGGAGGGAGGAGGAGCAGCAGCAGCAGCAGCAACAGCAGCGAAGAGGAGGGAGGAGGACAGGAGCGAGGAGGAGGCAGGGAAGGCGACGGAGGAGGGGGATGAGGAGGGATACGTGGGCGAGGGAGGAGGGCGAAGACGGAGAGGGGAGGAGGAGGGGGAGGGGGAGGAGGAGCAGCAGCAGCAGGAGGAGCGATAGCAGGAACAGGAGCAGGAGGCGGAGGAGGAGGAGTTCCCTGCTCGAGCCATGGGTTCCTAGCATCACGCCCACCCGTTCCTCCCACGCCATGGTCCCGCTGGACAACGCCATGCGCAAAAGCGACGGGGGGCTGCTGCTAGAACCTCCGCGACCCGAGCCAGGAACTCCGAAGCGCCTCATCCCAAAATGTTGCTCTTGTAAGCCCTCTCTCCATCATCAATCCTCCCGCCCCCGTCCTCCTCCTCCCGTCCCTAGCTTCCATCTCGCTCCGCCCGCGTCCTCTTCGACCTGCCGTTTAGCTCGTCAGACTCATCGTTCATCATTGACTTGCCCCCTCCTCGCTGCACTGCCCTCTCTCGGGACATCGAGAGCGCCTCAGACCCGCCTCGCGAGGGTCTCAACGGGGCCCCTGAGAGGGCGCCGAAAGTCTGACGACAGGACGGCGCTTGAGGCGCCGATCTCGTACGTCGTCTTGGCGCCCTCTCAAGGCGGCCCTGTTGAGAGCCCCGCGGGGCCCGCTGAGGCTTTCTCAGAGAGGCAAGAGACCACGACAGCATGCGAATGACAAAGGCTAGATGTCGACGTGCGGTTTATCTCTCCTGTCTGATCCCGTTCTAGAATTCTCAACGACTAAGCTCGAGCCCTCGGAATCGACGGGAGCGAGCTGAAAACCTACGGCTGGGGGCACTGGGGCCGCAAGTGCGTGGATCGTTCCCACGATCGAACCTGCGGCGTCTGCCTCGCTCAGCGATTGAGATAAGAAGAAAAGGAAGAACATAGGATGACTGGCGCGGGTGGTGCTCGAGGCAGGGGAGAAGAACGGTGGAAAGCAAGAGCAAGAAAGATAACGAGCAGGAGACAGGCAGATAAATATATAAAGATAAGTAGGAGTGATAGTCAGGCGAGGTAGATGGAGAGGAGGCGGGCATCTGCCACACAAGAAGAAGGGACGAGGGAGACGAACCCTGGAGAGGAGCCAAAGACGAGAGTAGAGAGGAGTTAGGGACAGAAGAAATGGAACATATGACTGGGTGGGAAATCTAAGACGCATCAAGGACATGCGGCTCCTGGAAAGAAATGCGGACGGGGGGAGGTCTGAACATAAAACGCATCATGGATTGCATCCCGAGCCCGCTCTGCATCGAAACCGACAGATCTAAGAAACTAACCTGCTGGCTCGGAGACGAACCAATTCTCCAACTGATGCTTCCCCTATGCGGTCGGGTGCCTAAGGCACGCATAGCAAGGCAAGCGCAATCATGCAAAACGGGATACAAACAACCTGCGATATTCAAAATGTGCCTCTCGTTTGCTGCGGGATGATTTTGTTGTGTATTGTTGTATTGCTGTGTTCCCTGATTCCCCCCAGCTAGCGCTCAAGCGCTGCCAGCAGCAGCGCCCGACGAGGCAGCGGCGCCTGAAGCGGCGAGAAGCTCAGGCGGGCCGTCCTGAAACAAGCCCCGAATGGGGCAAGCCGAGAGCGGCAAGTCCAAGTTGCCGAGGTGCTTCTTCCACGCGAACCTCAGCACAAAGAGCAGCGCGCCCAAGCACGAACCCTCCTCCAGCCAGGACCTGCTCTTGCGCTCCTCGTAGCAGTGCACGTGCCAACCGCCAGAGCCCAGGTTTCCGCGCCAGATCGTGGTGAAGGGCGGGATGTAGAGCTTGGCTTCTGGCTGCTCGATGGCGCGATCAGGTGGAATCGCTGGGCCCTTCCAATCTGATGGCTTCCACTGCGACTTGGAACCGCCGCCGCCCTTCGCAGCCTTCGTCGCCTTCATCCACTTGTTGTAGCTGGTGTAGTACAGCTTCTTCTGCGCCTTCATGGTCTCTTTGGTATCCTTCCTCTTGCTGGCGGCCTCCATCTCGTCCTTCGTGAGGCAATCCCAGGCGCCCTCCATCTTCTCGAGCGCCTCGTCCTCATGACCACTCGTGAAGCTCCGGAGCTGGAGGACCTTGATCAGGTCTTCCTCCTCGCATCCCAAGACCCTCTTACAGAGCATTTTCAGCATGCAGAACAAATCGGGTGAGCCCTCGATCTTGCCGTAGCCCTCGTACCTCCAGATCTCCTTCAAGGCGGTGATGCCTAGGTCGAAAAAAGCCCTGGACGCGGCAACGAACAGCAAAGGCCCGACCCCGTCCTTGGAAATCGGACGAAGCTTGAGGTCTTGCTTCATGGAGTCCGCGCACCCCTCCGCGATGAAAGCACCCTCTGGCGACTCCCACTCCACGAAGGCCGCCTCCCACTCACTCGCGTCGGTCATGAACAACTGCTTGAAGTCAGTCAATGCGCCGTTCAACTCCAGCTTGAAGACGCCCCTGCCCGTGGACGGCAACTTGAGAGAGGTGACAGGCACTCCCAAAGCGCAGATGCCGTACAAGTCGCCCATGGAGAGGTACCACTGCGGCTGTCCAATCTTCTTGACGACAACGTGCCCAGCCTTCGCCAGAGTACAATAAATCGTCGTCTTGATGTTGTTCACCGTGGTGCCGAGCTCCCTCGCGTGTTCCAGCAAACCCATCTCAACCACAGGCCTATTCTCGGTGGTCGCGGAGAAGTGTGGCCATTCAGGATCCCTCTTCGCCCCCTTGATCTTCTTGAAGTCGCCCTCCGCGTCGAACGCCGAAGCCGATTGATGGTGCACCTCTGCTGGGACGTGCGGGTTGCGGACGTCGCGGACCCAAGAGTAGTCTACCTCCGTGTGGTCATGAACCTCGCCCAAGATCTTCTTATCAACGAGCGTCGCGTAAGCCCTGTCGCGGCAACGATCCTGGTGCATACCTTTGTC